CCACTGGCACGGACTTTCTAACTTTCGTTGCTGACCTTGGGCCTTCTCAGCATACATCTGTAAAACAGATTTGCACATGACTTTGTCATGGGCTCTAGGTCTTCAGCTGGACTCATGCAGGGTGTTGCCATGGGATCCAGGCCCTCAGCTGTATTCTTTGGATTTTAGTGTGTGGACAGATTTCCTGTGCTCTTTCTTTTGTATTTGACTCTTTGGGTGACCATTATAAAATCACACTATAAATTATGTGTCCTGCAATATAATTGTTTTCCTGACTGAGACAGTAGTGTTTAATTTTCTTTTTGATTTTGAAATGGGCTTACAGTTTGCCTTAATTCTTAGAGGAGGAGAATTTGGATTTGAACTTTTCAGCAATGCTGAAACTGTCGGGACTTCAGTGACTCCTAGAGATGGACTAAATGCATTTTGCATAAAGGAATGTATATGAATCTTTTGGGGGCCAGGGCCAGAATGATGTGGTTTATATCCAGATATCCCTGAAGAGCCTCATGCTCTCATGGGTGTGGTTTTTGGAAGTCTACTGGAACATGAAGGTTTAAATTGACTTGTTGTTAGGTGGTAGGGGCTACTCATAAGAGGTGGTCACTGCAGGCATAACCCAGAGGGTTATATTTCCCTTCCCAATCCTCCCTTGATTCTGTCTCTGTCTCTGTCTCTGTCTCTGTCTCTGTCTGTCTGTCTCTCTCTGTTTCTCTATCTCTCTCTTTCTCTGCTTCCTGTCCACTATGCTGTGAGCACCTCTCTTTTCCACCATGCCCCTTGGCCATGCTCTCCTGCCTTGGAGCTGGCTGACCACGCACATTGCAAAGCTGGACTGAAAATAAATCTTTCCTCCTTTAAGTTGTGGGTGTTAGATGTGTTCCAATGACAAGGAAAGAAACTAAGACAAATCCAAACCCCCAACACCTCAGAATGTGACTTCATTTAAAAAAGCATTTTTGCAGACTGAAGCAGGTTAAGATGAAGTCCTCAAAGTGTGCGCCCAAACCCAGTATGATTGATGTCCTTATAAGGAAAAATTGGAACAAACACATATAGAGGGAAGACCATATGAGGAGAGAGAAGAGATGGCACATGAAGGCAGGACTGGGGGTTGTTGCCAGCCTGTGCTCGACCCTGAGAGGGAGCTGGACTTAGCCTCACCTTCACCTCCAATTCCTGGCCTCCCAAACTGTGCAAGAGGGAATCTGTGTTTCTTGAAGGCCACAGAGTGAGGTCCCTGCTACAGCAGCCCCAGAGACCAGCAAGAGCCATGACACATTCGCAACCATGACACCTGCTGGGCCTTCACACTTGTAAAGAAAGTGGACCTGTGACACCCATTCATTAAGAGCTCCAAGGTGGCTTGCAAAGCAAGGAGGAGCGGCTTCAAAAAGCACAGCTGAGCACCCAACCTTCCTGAACTTGGGGTTGCACAGAAAGGGACAGGCAGGACAGAGCATGTGGTCTGTGGGCTGAGACAGATGCTGCCACCTGAGAACCCCCAAGACCAGTGCAAAGAGGACAACCCCAGGAGGGACAGGGCAGCATAAGCCTCATCCTGGGGATGAAGTCCCTAAGGGCCACTCTGCTTTGTCTGAAAGGATTTTGCCCCAGATGGGACACTGTAGCTGGTGGGAACCTGGGAGGCGGATCCAAGGGGGCTCTATCTTGAGGTCACCTTTCCTGCCCCTAAGCAATTTACCTGTGGTGCAAAATGAATTTCAATGGGCTATCTGTGCATCAGTAATGCTCCTTAGGCTCCACCCCAAACCTAAGCTACATGTATGCCCCCATACCATGTGTCAAGCAGAGAGGATGCCAGACCCCGGAGGTCATGGAATCTCTCTCCACATTCTTAAAATAAAGGCCACTTTTATTTCATATGTCTTGTCTTTTTGGCCACACCAAAAATTCTATCCTTGTCATCAAAGATGATAGAATGCTTCACATAGTATTCATGAACCAGGAAGATGCAAACCGTCTCAGTGAGATCTGTTTAAAGAAGCCCAAAATGTAAGCATTCTACTGCTTGAAGTAAAAGCTTGTTTATTTTGTTGTTGTTTAGAGAGCTTTAGTTCTCTGGAAAATTCCCTAGGCTGGAACTTCTAGATTTTCAGCCAGGCAAGAGAAAAAGGCACAGGGCTGTGTCCCTCAGCAGGAGACCTGAAGCTGCCTAGCACAAGCCTAACACCTGGGTAGAGGAAGCTGATACCCAAAAGGCTCTTAAGTAAACCAGGAAAAGTTTGCTAATCTTTGTATAGAAATAAACATTTCTACCTCAGATCAGCTCTGATCAGGCAGAATTCAAAACCCAGTGTCAAATTCTCCTGCTAGGAAGATTTGCTAATGCCCGCCTCAGCAGGTCCTCAGGGCAAATCAGGGACACAGTGTGAGCCCTGGTGATCTTCTGCCCCTCACCCATGGATGGGCACCCTGGTTTACAGCCAGGTTGGCAGCCAATCTTCCCGGCCACATTAAAGAGGCTCAAGCAGGTGGAGGTCAGAGACCAGAGTTCTCTCCTCTTCCTTGGAACCTGATAACCTCAGAAAACATCTTAAGAACAGGTCTATCCTGCCTGCTCTGGCTCCTGTGTCAGCTCAGGCTGGAGCCAACCCCTCCTGATCCCCCAGGCACTGACCTCTGACTGGGCACTTCCCCCATGCCCCTGAATGCTCCAAGACTCCCATCCCTGGTGGGACGTAGCTCTTGCTGAGTGCCCCAGAGCACATGCTGAGACCTCTGTGGGGTACCTCTGTCCTTACCTTTGAGACCTCAGAAGGTGACAGTTTTAGTCACTTTCCCATCACTGGGATGAAATACCTGATGCCCGCAGCTTGGAGGAGAACAAGTGTGTTTTGGTTCGCAGTGCAGTGGGTCCAGTCCCTGCTCAGCCGGCTCCACTGTGGGAGCACAGGGTGGAAGAGTCTGGTGAAGCAAAGTGGTCCATGTCATGGTGGCCAATAAACAGAGAATAAGGGGGATCTGCGAACACCCCAGTAGCCCCCTCTTCCAACCTCCCCACAGCATGTTCAGCTGTGAGCTCATCGATGAATGAATCCACTCATGAGTATGGCATCCCCACGAGCCAATCACCTTCCGCAAGCCCCATCTCTGAAGCCGTGAGTCTGTGGGGGAACATTCTAGATCAAAACCATAGCATGACCCTGAAAAAAGGGGTTACCACAGAAGTGGTGAGAAAAGGTCAGGCTGGAGCGCAGGGCCTTACTGCGATAGTCCCAGGGATCTTATAAGAAGAGAGGAGAGACCCACAGGAAGAAGGCACTGGAATACTCACACAGGGGAAGACATCTGAATGACAACAGATCTGGATACAGAATTTCTCAGTGGGCCCCATAGAATAGCAGGGCAACCAGCAACAGGAAGCTGAGACACCAAGATGGGATGGACGCTCTCTAGGAGAAAGCCTACCCCACCACCACCTTGACCTTGGACTTCTGGCCCTGGACGGGGAGACGTATGCAGCTTTCTAGGGTTCCTTCTGCCAGCACTGGTAATGCACACACCCAACAAGTCTTTCTTTGGCTCTTTTTTTTCTTCTTCTTCCTCCCCTCTGTCCGAGAAGTACACTATGTTTGCTTAACCGCATTGTCAAGGGACTGTGGTGATTAGTTGTCCTGGTTCCCTTTAGGGTGCTTCTGGGCTCCTGGCAACTAAGATGACATCGTTGGGCCCTCCTGCCGTCTGGCTAGTGGGCAGTGACAGGCTGACCTTGCCAAAGGACTGCCAGACGCTGTGCTGTGCCTCTGAACCCCTCTCATGTCAGGGACAGCAGGCACTTTTCATCTGCACAGTGGCACAGGTGACCTTTCATGTGGCTTTAGAAGCTAGGCTTTGCCCGGTGAGTAGATCACACAGGACAGCGGTGGCCAGATGGAAACAGCAAACGAAGCTTGGCATCTCCCCCAGTCTCCTTGGACACAAGGGAGACAAAATGGGGTGCCTGCCACAGCCAACGGGGTAGTAGGTGCCCAGCTCTCAGTGCAGAGACGGCAGTGCAGCTGTTGCAGTGGCCTTTCGTTCCCCAAGAGAACAGGTCCCTAACAGATACGGACATGATGTGATTCATCCACTCTGCGGGTCCTCTCTTCCTGTAGAAGCTACTGGGTCCATATCGGGGCATGGCCAGACAGAGCAGCCCAGGACAGGGTCCCCAGACTTCTCCACCTTCCCCACTTCCCGAGCCACAAAGAACTCCAGATGGCGCCCATGTGCAGCGGGCCCCACTGAGAGGAGAAGGCAGGCCCAGGAATTGTCACCTGACCTCATTTGGGCACACAGCAGGCCCTTCCAGTGAGGGTCCATCCTGCCATCCCACTCGCAGGAGCTGGGAGCCCCAGGCCCTTAATGCTCCTGAAGGGTTGTCCCTTCAGCCTGCAGGTTCTACTGCCTCTCAGGAACAGAGTCCATCCCAGGTCCATCCTGTGCAGGCCTGGATACCAGCTTGGCATGAGTCCTCAGACACCTTGGCTTCCAGCTGGGGACCCAGCAGATGTTGGAAGAGACTGCTGACTTTGATTTGTTCTTGCTGTTTAATTTTTGTTTTAGAAATCGACTGCATGTTATTGGCCTAAAATGTCCCCTGAATATCTACCAGAACTGTCCTCGTGGTCTTGGGTCCTCGGGTTTCCCTGGGATGAGCTGTACCCATGTCCCACCCTGTCAGCCATCCCCTGTGCCATGCCAGGACATCCCTAAACTGGGGACTGCTACCTGGGCCTGGCGTGGGGGTGACTGCCCACCAGGCCTACACGAGACCAGGATCCGCCCATCCGCAGCTGTGGGCCCAGAGCCCAGGGTCAGCGGTCGTTGCACGCGCGCGCGCGCGCACACACACACACACACACACACACACACACACAGACACACACACACACACTCTCTCTCTCTCACACACACACACCCTCCACAGCGCGTTTGTAAGACCCGCAGCGCCCCCTCGTGGCCACTGAGCCTCGGGCCCGGGCAGCGCGCCCCGCCCAAGGGATCGAGCAGGGTAAGGTATTCTGTAAAAGCCGAATCTCCATGGAAATGCCCGTGCTGGAAACATTGCAAGGAATCTGTTCTTTCCCGTGGGTCTCACAAAAGCAGAGGACATTGATGCAATTTGCTCACCAAAGCCTGGGACCCAGAGACCTAGGACGCGCGTGCGCACAGATGGCTGAATCCAGACTGGAAACCAAAAGGTAAACCACCCTTAGGTCAGACTAACTAGGAGCAGCCGCGGCAGCCCGCCTAGGCCAGCTCTCGGGTGGGCTCACCTGCCTGCCCTGGTGTAGCATTCCCATCCATTCCCAGCTGGTCTGCCTGCAGCCGAAACCAGAAGAAAGGGGAGACAAGTATGCAAGATAATGTGAAGGCAGCCAGGTAGGAAGCTCTGCCCTAGGGGCCCAGGTAAAAATTACAGCAGCTGCTGCGCCTCTGCCAGCTCGGATTTGTACACCAGTCACTTTGGCAACAGGAACGAAGAAAAGGGCGTTTTTTTCTCATTGGTGGGCTAGGGAAGGGGGCGGGGCATCCTCCCGCAGAGCTCAGCCGGCAGCCCCAGCACCCAGGCAGGAGCTGGGTTTGATCCCTGCTCCGCGGGCGAATGCTCTGTTCTTTACAGCCAAGGACGAGCTGCGTTGTCAGAGAGGTGCACAGGGCCAGCGCTGCACACTCCCCAGTGAGAGCGAGAGCGTTCTTTTAGATAAGCAATAAGTGTCCCCAAACACTGTCCACAGGCCGCTGAGGCCACCGAGGAGGGTCCCAGATCCCCGTTTCCTGCACACCTCTGCAAGGCTCACCAGGTATAGGAAAGACCCAAAAAGTCCCTAGTGGGCAGCTGGCCAGTGCAAGACTGCACTGCTGCTTTGCAGTGCAAGCTGCTTTGGGGCCAAGTTGAGGCCACAGCAAAGATTCAGGACACATGAGTTAAGAGCATCTTCTTCTCCCCAAAACACTTTCCGGGCCAGCCCACTGGGTGGACAGTAATCCCCACTCCTTTTCTCTGTGGGCTCCAGGCACAGAGCATCTTGCCCTCCACCAAAACACTGCCCGCTGACCTGGCTCTCAGCTGCCAGACACTCGCTTCCAGAACAGTGAGCAACATCTGGCGCAGGTCAGGATGAGGGCCGGTGCTAGTGATGTGCCATGGGCAGAGGCCAGCGACACCCAGGACAGTCCTGTCAGGTGGGCCAACCCCAACACAACACTCTAGTGCAAGGCTGAGGAAGTAACTCCAACTCTCTGTGTCTTGGAGCCCCTGATGCTCAGAACACTGAACTTGGGTGGATCCCCCTCTTAAAAACCTTCCTATGTGTAACGGCTCTGTCTTCTATTGCCAAAATAATCTCAATTTTTATAGTAACTTAGTTCCGTCTGCTTAGAAAAAAACAATAGAGCTTCCCTGCCCACTCCGCACCCACTGGGAATTTCTGCACACAAACTCACACTCACACACACACACACGCTTGTGAGGACAAGCCATGTGCATCACCTGCTAGTTCTTCTGAATTCCTCCATGGAATTCAGTGGTTTACCAGTCTGCTAACTCCCTCACCTTCCACCTCTTCTCTTCTGTGTCCTTTCCAGCATAGTAGATCACAGTGTTTTATCAAACATATTCACTGGTTTTATGAACTATCATGGAAATATTGTTCATGGCTAAGCCATTTCTTGTATTATGATTTTCTTTCTTTCTTTCTTTTTCTTTCTTCTTGGACAGGATCTCCTATGTAGTTTGGGTAGACCTTGAACTCACTATGTAGCCCAGGCAGGCTTGTGGCAATCCTCAGCCTTCCCAGTGCTGGGATTACAGGTGTGTGCCAGCCTGTGTTTCTTTTCTCGGGCAACTTTTTAACTGAAGTCAGTGGCTGTCTTCCTGTTCTCCATTAATGTAATTCTTATATTCACCTCTGCAGCCATTGTGTCTGACTCCCTAGCAGGACCTTGAACCCTCCCCATTAAGTAAAACAGCTCAGAGGACTCAGCTTCCTGAGGCTTGCTGACTCCTGCCCCTTTGGCTTCCTGCTGAATCCTATTGCTGGCTATGACCACCAGAGGCCTCATTTTTGACTCAAAGTTTTGGAGAATTTGCTTCCTAGTCTTCTGTACCCTGGGGTTACTGTGACAGCCGTATCCTCTTGCATTCCTAGGGGAGACTTGAGACTATCAGTCCTTGGTCTCATTCTTCAGTGGGTGGGCTTCCCCGGACTCCTGCTGCCACCTATCCTGACCCTCAGAGGCACCTGGTACCCACAAGTCCAGGGAATGCACAGCACTTACACTCTGGAAACCAGCACACTGTCCTCAGCCTGACTCCAGGGGTGACCAACCCCAAAAGACATCAAAGAGGCCATGTTTTAGTGCACACTGCTCCAAATTCCCTTCTTCCTGGTTTCCGGCAGGAGACTCCAGACCTAGCCCCACTGCAGCTCCACCCCCACCCATCAGCAGCCCCTGCATGGTGGGCATTAGGTGCTTTTCCTGGCATTGTTCTGTTCTTTGGTTCAGCTCTGCTGTTCTGTTCTTGAATGTGGGGTTTTATACCTTTATTGTAGGCCAATAAAAGATGCAGAGTAAACCCCTTGGGGTTCCCTCATCCTTCCCCCTCTCCCTTCTTGATGTATCATTTGCTGTTTTATTGGGACCCCCAAGTTTCTCTGTTGAAGTCCTAACCCCAGGACTTTAGCACATGGCCTCCTTTGGGGATGGCATCACTGAAGACATAACACAGCTGAGGTCACACTTGAGTAGGATGAGTGCTGAGTCCAATGCAGTGGTGTCCTTCTGGGCACTGTGACATATACAGGCACAGAGGAAGAAGCTACATGCAGATTGGCATGGTGAAGCCAGAAGCCAGGGCTCCCCGAAGCCGGAGAGGCTGGGACAGGTCCTGACCTAGCATGTGAGAGGGAGTGTGCTGCACTTGCAGCCTCCAGACCGGAGCAGTGAATGTTGCTATTTAAGCCACACAGTCTATCATGATGCCTTGCAAAAGCCAGAAGCCCATAAGCCTCACCTCAAGCTGATGTTCCTGGCTGCCGTCCATCTGTAGAGAGGTGGTAGGGGTATAGTAGACCCACAGAAGACATGGAGGAGGGGACACGCAGACTGCAAGAGGCCCTCAGCTGGTGGCACAGACTGGCTGGGGCCCCCAGTGTCAAAGCAGCCTCACACCTGGTCACAGTGCTCCAAAACCAGGCCCTCGTGGTCAAGCTTGTCCTGCCTGGTATTCCTTCCTTTCTTTCAGAACCTCACAGAATCCCCAGGTTCTCCTAAGAAGCACCTCACCCTGGGAGTTGGAGGGACCTTGTGCCTGGCTCCGGATGCTAGCAGCAGAGTTCTGAGTAGCCCAGGTGGTGGGTTTTTAAGGCCACAGCCTGCCTGCACCAAGTGCTGCCCAAAGCAGTAGTGACTGTGACCACAACACTGCAGACACTGGTGTCCAGCACCCTGGACAGACTCAGGGCTAACATCCACAGCTTGCCTGCTTGCATCATAGCTGCATGTCTCAGGAGGACACCAAGGCCAGGCAGGAGTCACTCAGCCAGGATGTGACTGAGATGAGACTAAATTGAGTTTTACAAGGGGACAGTAACAGGCCCATCTGCCAGGCTGTCCCAGGAGGCAGAGGGCCAAGGTTGTCATAAGGGTCTTGTGGGATCAATGTCAGCTGAGCCTCGGGGGAGGGCCCTTCTGAGGTCCAAATTGGCAGTGCCTGATGCTTCCCTGCATGGCTCACCCACACACAGCCTGCCACATCAATCTCTTAGCCATGGAGGAACTTTGGAGGGCCTCACCCCAAAACTAAGGCCCCCCTCCCGCTTCCAGGAGCCCAGGAAAACTGCTGTGGAAAGTGCTGTCCAATGCAACCCTGCATGGAAGAAAGGCTGTGCATATGCAGGGGCGTGTGTTTGCTGTGTGTGTGCTGGAATGTCATAGAGCTCTTTTGCACATCAGTGACTATGCATAAGTTTCTATGCATAAGTTCCAGGGGCACAGCCACTCACTATCAAGAGGATATGCACACAGAGCAGGCACAGCATTGCCCTGTAATGTATCTCATGTCACTCTTCTGACCTGCGCAGGAGGAACTCATCAGGACATCCGAGGTACCGATCAGCACAGCATCTTAAGAATAAAGCAGTGGAACTCGCAGAGACCCTACACACAGACTGCACACAGGCACGGCCAGAGCTCAGCAGCCGGGACCCAGGAAATGTGCCCAGACACAGGTCCATCACAGGAGGATGAGGCACCAGCCCTGGCTCCTCCAAGGTCAGGTACCGAGGCCTTGGCTGTGGGAATCATCAAGAGCCTTCTGAAAACCACTTCCTTGCCCACCACTGTGGCACAGCTCGCGGTAGACATGGTGTGGGCATGGTGCCCCGAGGGACCCAGCGGCTGCACCCTCATCCTAACCAAAGGGAGAGGACACAGCTTCAGGTGGCTCAGATGGGGCTGCGATGCTGTAAAAGAGTGACAGATCTCCTCCAGGAGTCTGACCCCCTTGTCTATATGGAGGCTATCTCAGGGGTGGTTTAACCCCTACCTTTTATTAGATTTTAATCAGGAGTGATCATGTTGAATATTTCAGATTGCCTTTTGAATGTGATATTTTTAAAAACCATGTGATGAAGAGGAAAACATGAGGAAGCATAAATTTTTAAAATTCATTCTCTCTATATAATAATTCTACCAGGCATTTACTGCTGCTCGGCTCTACAGACGGCCAATCAGCAAGCATCTTCCTGGTGGCTGATGTTTCTGTTCTGTCTGACTGCTGACTGCCCTCACCAGCACAGCCATTTATGTGAACTCGCACGTTCTGACTGCACAACCAAGAATTCAAACACAGGCTCCATGCCCTACTCCTACTCCACCGATTGCTTCCCTTCCTGAATTCAGCAGGTGGTCCATGTTGGCACAGAAAGGCCTGGCTGAGCACATGAATGCGCACGTGTGCACACACTACACAACCCATGAGCTGGATTGGATTGATCCCTGTCTCTCTCACAGACACACACACACACACACACACACACACACACACACTTCTTTGCACTCAGGCTACTGTTAGAAGATCACATCACAAGGGATCACTTGTTGCCCCCCCTGCTTCCCTGCCACTCCTCCTGCTGAGAAGACACAGACCACAGAGGCTCTGAGGGTCACACACAGCCACAGGGGTGCCACACAAGAACAATGGCCAGGAATCAGCAGATCCATCCACCATGCATCAGGCCTTGTAGCTCCACATGTCCTGCCTCTAATGGGCTCCTCCACACAGAAGGTGTCCCCACACCTGGTAGCTCCGAATCTCTACCAGGGTGGGGCAGACATCTGAGAGGGTTTTTGGGTACCGTGGATTGAACTCATGACCTCATGCTCGCCAGGCAAGCACTTGTGCCACTGAACTAAATTTCCAGCCCATAGACCCTTGAGATTTAAAGTGACATAGATTCAGGCCAGGTTCCCAACAGGATGCCCCTAGAGTGCAGAGTGGCTGTATATGTCTCTTAAGGAGCAGACAGGTTGGTGACAGGGCATTCTCATGGTGCGGCAGCCCACCACCAGCCCACAGGGGGTAGACAAGAGCAAGGTCCCTGCCACTCACTACCCACAGCCCAAAGTAGCCAGCAGAGGGGACAGGAATGTGTCCCCTCCCAGTGGTGGTTCCTCTCCAGTGCATGGTTCTGTGACACTGAGACAGAAGTGTATCTAGAGGGATAACAGCCAACCCTGACACTCTGCAGAAGAGTCTCTAGGCTCATTAGTTTCCAACACAGATCAGGAGTCCCTGGAGAAACCAGCGCTCCTGGTGTGTGAGCTTCATCCAGAGCCAGCTGCTTCTGGTTCCTGGCAAGCTGAGCCCTAGCAGGAGCCACAGCTGGAAGAGGCCTAGCATTGTAAGGCTCAGAGGCTGTGGTATAGACTAACAGCTGTCCCCTAAACTGCTGGGGGAGCCGGGATTCCTAGAGAAGCAGGGCCCACTGAGGATGTACCTCTGTGTATTTACGCTTGTGCAGGAGGCAGCTTTCCTCTCTCTAGAGAAAAATATTCCATATCTCCCACCTAAAGGAAGAAACATTTAGTCTGGATCAGGGGATTCAGTCCATGGTCAGCTGACTCTGACCATCATGTGGACATCATGGTGAAAGGGCATGATAGAAGGAAAGCTTCTCATGTCATGGGAAGCAGAGAAAGGAGGAGCCTGGCATACAGATGCACCCTTCCAGGAATCCACCACCAACAAGGCTCCACTTCCTAACAGCAAGTCGGCTAAGAACTCCGCAATGGGTCAGTTCACTTTTGAGTCCAGTGTCCCCTGATGCAGTTACCTTCTGAAAGTCTCACTCTGAATGCATGAGATTTTAGGGGGAAATTCTAGGTCTCAACCATGACTCCCTAAATTGACAGGATGAAAGAGATTTGTTTGGCGAAGCAGCACACTATCCAGGCTGGCCAGGCTAAAACCTGAGGGCCATCTTGCCAGCTGGAGAGAGAGGGTGACCAACAGTGAGGTCCCTTCTGTATCCATTTCTGGGAAACACTTTCATCTGGGTGAGCCCACTACATACGAGGTCACTACCTCACTCCAGCATGAATGATGGGGGTGGGATGGGGGTCACTGTAGCTACCAAAGAACTGCATGGCACACTGCTCATCCTAGCTACGCTAAGCTCAACCCCATAATGACCATGGAGAGACAGCAGGGAGGTCACACAGCAGCTCACCTCTCTCCTCCTGCCTTCTGTGAGGAGCACCTCTCGCTTCCTCTCTCTCTGCCTGCTCCACTATGCAGCTCCTGGCCGATGTTCACTCCCTGCTCAGCTGGGAGAAAGGGGGCCTGTCCCTCTTGGTTGACCAGAAACCCAGCCCCAGCCCCACGCTGATCTTGTGCCTCAGTGTCTGTCCTCACTGTAGCAGGACCCACCTTACCTAAGGCAGTAGTGCTTAGCAAATGCTTATTAAATAAATGAAGGTTTCCACGAACTGATAATGTTACCAGCTTCCTAGTATTCAAGATTCTGTGATGATTACCCACAGAACTGACCCAAGATGTTATGGTTGATACTTTGTGTCAACTTGAGAAGAAATTTAGAAGTTTAACTAAGAGACTCAGCAGGGACCAGGATCCTTACTTTGTAAATAATCCTCATCCTGGCAAAAGGATACACAGACATTTTGTGAGTGCTACACCTGCCCTGGAGCAGGGGTGGTGGGCTGTGTACCCTAAAAGGGAGGAGAAGAGGCTTGTTTCCCCTTTTTGCTCTGGGTGCTGCCTTGAAATGTTGCCCCAGTGCCAGGACACCCCTGCCTTAGAGCCAGCTGATTAAAGACTGAAATCTGAACAAACAGTGAGCTGAATAAACCTTTCCTTCCTTCATTTTTGGCATCAGGTATTTTGTCTCAGCAACGAGAAAAAAGTAACAAGGCACAAGGCAAATGGGGGATGGTCCTATGCCTGAAAGCAAGCAACCCTGGGGTTGTGAACAGGATGAACAAAGAATTCTGAATGCACAGAATTTAAGGCCTATCAGATGCTTTCGTGATTTGCACGTTAGTATAAATAAGCTTCCCCATCTCTGCCATGAAAGAAAGATAATTTGGAACAGGGGAAGAAAGAGCCAGTCAACACCTGATGTCTGAGCAGGAGGGAAGAGAGAAGTGTGACAGGAAGGAAGCTGGGACAAAGGAGGGCTGTGGCTCTGAGGACTTTCTTCTTTGCCATCATTACTCAGGAGCTGCACATCCAGCCATGCTAAGGACTGCACCATCTCCAGGTGCAGTGCTGATTGCTGCTGGGCCGTTTCCCAGCACTGTGAGATAGACCTGACCACGGAATCCCAGAACACCGACCCAACCCAACCCAGAGGGGAGAGCACCTTTAACCTGCTCTCCTGTATATCGTGCCCCCCAGGGGACCCCACCAGTGCTGGTGTTCCCCACACAGCCTCCCCTCTGTGTCTACACAGCAAGACAGCAGCATCTCCCCTTGTGAGATCAATGCCCCAAGTAACCTAGGCTGGGAGCCTCCAGCCCTCAGCCCACAGGAAGAGGCAGCTCCTTGGGGCCTTGGACCAGGAGCCTGGGTCTCTGTGTACTCCAAACAGCAAGATCTGCAATACACAGCAGATGCAGGGTGTGCAGGACAAGTGTCCCTCTGTTCCCAGATCCTGCCTTCAGAAGGAAAAAAAGGAAGGGCACTGGCCAGGAAGCACAGGAGAGGAACAGGCCCTTCCCTCTCTTTGGTCACCCTTGTCCTGGAGCCCTCACAGACCCAGCTGGCCATGGGAACAGCGATGGGCACACAGCATTCGAGGTCCCCTCCTGACTCCAGGCTGTGCTGTCACCATGCAGGTGGCAGCAGCTCTTTTTACTCACACACAGATGTGCGGGGCACCCTGCTGCCCTGGAAGGGGGTCTGGCACATTCTGGAGCTGAATGCCCTTTTCCAAGGTCACCACACAGCAGTACACTGCAGGCAGATGGCAAACAATGTCATGTCCTCAGGCACCAGGTAATGCTTGAGGATGCCTGTGGTCTCTGGGCCCTGGGCGCCAAGCTGGTGATGCTCACCAACTGACCCACCTTCTCATTCACCTGCTTCCCACTCACCCTCCCCAAGAGTCTCGCTCCTGTCCTATGTCCTAGACAGGCATTGAGTGGCCCTGTGATCTCAGGTGACTCTGGCTGTAACTCTGCAGCCTGCAGAACACAGGACTTGCTGAGAGCAATAAACTCTATGTGTGAGGTTTTAATTTTCTGCATATTACGGTATTTTGACACATTAACTCCCCTCGCCCGATTTACTTCATTTAACACTTTATAATAAATAAATCAGACATATCAGCTTAAATATGGCACACTTTCTTTAGTATAAGAAACTTGAAGCATAAATACATTAAAATAGAAGGCAGATGCTAGGAGACTGTGAGATAGATTTTTTTTTTTTTTTTTTTGTCTTTTTCCTTTTTATCGGTACCAGGGATCGAACTCAGGACTGCCTGCTTGCAAGGCAGGCGCTTATGCCACTGAGCTAAATCCCCAGCCCCAAGAGGCTTTTTTTTTTTGAGATAGATTTTTGCAAATGGGAAGGGAACCAAGAGAAGAAAGGAAGCAAGGAGGACAGGAGGGAGGGAACAGAATGGAAAAGGAACAACACCAACTCCCCATGAGGATTTCAATCATTAATACAGCAAACACGAGCTAATAAAGCTAAAGATTAAAAAGCCCCTACCTGGCGGGGGCGTGTCTTTCTGGTCCACTCCTAGAGGGGCTGCCTCTGCCTGGGTCAGCCCCGGCTCACATGCCGGTGACAGCAGCCCCTCTGAGCCAGGAATCCTGGGCTCCTCCAGCCTGAAACTGCCTGGGCTCTCCAAGCTCCATAAAGGTGGTGGCCTTGCTTTCCGCAAGCACATGACCAGCTCTCTGTAGCCTTGGACACCAGGTCCACCCCATCAGCGTGACTGGCAGCCTCCAGTCTCGTGGGGCAGAGAGCTGCCCCAGATCCAACACAGCGGAGCCCTCACTGAAGGGGAGGTAGAGGGAGGGGCCACACCTCACTCCACAGCCTGGGGCCTTTGCATGCTCCTTTCTGGGCAGGTAGCCAATGACAGGTCCCCCCCCCCCCCGCCCTCCTCTTGCTATACCTCCTCCACAGCTGGGTACTCCAGGACACTGCCCGAGTATCCTGCAGCCAAATAGCAAAACCCCACAGATGGCACGGAAACAACAGAAACCTCTGCGCTCTGGCTTGGGCCCCAAGCTGTGATCCCCTGGCCATGCCAGCTCCAGGGTTGGTAGGCATGTCACTTGGACCTTGCCTCTGCTGTCTCATGGCCTCATTCCTGGGCATCTCCTCTTACAAGGACACAAGCCCTCGTTCAGAGGATGCACGCCACCCCCAGATGACCTCAGCTCAACAAGTCACCTTGGCAATTCCAAAGAAGGTCCCTTCATCAAGATCTGGGAAGAACATGACCTGGTGGACACTCTGAACCCTAGGACAGGCATGTTCCCCAACAGGCAGGGGCCCTGCACTCTAAGGCCTCAGGTCCTCTCTGAGGTCCTTGAGAGGGTGACAGGTTAGGAGCCGTGATGTGAGGAGCCGTGATGCTATACAACAGGGGCACAGGACCCCAGCAGCAGTGTGGTCTCTGCTCTGAGCCCAAAGGGGTCAACATGGAGGGCCAAATGTACATCTAAGCCTGGACAACGCTGCTCTGCCACACTGGAAAAGGTCAGGTGAAGCGACACCTTTCCAGCTCCCTCCAGCCCCTAGATTGGATCGTGTCTTCCCAGGGTGGAGGTGACTGGCCTGGGTTCACACAGCAATTGCAACACAGCAGAAATAAAACCACTCTCTCCAGATTCGCCAGTGGAGGGGCCTCTGCTGGGTGGGGTGGGGCCCTAATGTACGTATGTCTCACCTGCCCTGGGTGCCTAGGGCTCATCTCTGTAGTCCACCTTTCCACACTGTGGACATGACCACAATTCAGCCACACTCGGTGTCTGCACAAGAAAGAAGTGAGCAAGGAACCGAGAGTGAGCTTGCGGAGGAAGGAGAGGCTGCAGGTGGCCAGTGTCCACGTGGGAGCCCAGCGCCTCCAATCCTTACTCCCCCAGCAGTTGGTTTGAAGCAATGCACTTGGTGCAGCAGAGACACCAGGGGGAAGCCCTCCCATCACAAAGCGGGAGTGGCTGGGGTGAGAACAAGGGAAAGAAAGCAGAGCTGAGTAAGGGTCCTGCAGGTGACAAAGTACAGAGCACAGCTGCCCCAGGAGCAAGAGATCAAAAGGGAGTGAACCCTAGGTACTCCATTAAGCCAGTGGTGACAGCTGGGGGATGCAAGTGTCCCCTGGGGGACACAAGACTCCAGGGAATCAGCTGTCCCAGGTCATAGGCTGTGAAGAAATCCAAGAGTGTCCACTCCCAGGCCTCCTTCAAGAACTGGGATGCAGGGAGCTCCCACCCAGTACCAAGGTTCAGCTGGTAGAACAGGGAGTGGGTAGGGACAGTGTCTCCCACACAGGGAAAAATGAGGGTCACAAAGGTTCGAGGACTGTGCTACCACCCCCTGTGTCCCCTGACAGCTCTCTCTGACCAGACAGGCTGAGCATCAGCTCTCTGGAACCCTGGACCCATACTTAGTTACTGACTCATGATCTGTGCTGGGTACAAGGACATCAAGACCTGGTAGGGCAAATTCAGCCAAATTCACAAGGAAATGGTGCAAGAAGGACTCCACCCTGAGGCTCCGGACTAGAGGAGCTCACAATGCATGCCCAGACCCAACCAGCCAACCCTGCCTGCTATGGCAGCCTTTCCCAGCCTTTCTGGCCTTAGACTGCATGCTCTGTTATTCTGTTTGTTCAAGTCAGGCCTCTGTGTCTGCCCACCTTGCTCCCACCCAGGGGCCTGCACCCTGTTAGGATTTCTGCCTAATGAAAAGCCATTTACCACCTGCAAAGTAGCACCTGCCAACTCCTGCCTTCAAAGGCACCTTGCCCGTTCCACCCACACTGCGGCTGCCTTTGCCTTCAGAGTGTTTCTTTTTTAATTTAAACTTTAATTTTGCAAGTCCAGAGGAAGTAAATGTCAAGAGTTTAGGATTTTGTTTTCCCTTCTAAAAAGGTCAGTCCCTACTGGCAGGGTGGGAGAACCTCAGGTGGCAGTGTGGTGGCAGCCGTGGTAGTGGGGTTGTATTAGCCCCAGACACCTGAAGGCTATAATTTGCAGATCAAAGTCCCCTCAAAGCCCTCTGAGTCCTACCTGATTCTCCCACATTATCCTGTCCACCTTGCGGGGAACAAGCCAGCTTCAGGACACCTGCCCATCTGACATTATAGCACTGTGTGAAGCACCCACTCCCTTCCTAGTGATCTGGGAAAGCTGGTCAGGGCAGTGGTGTCCTCACCTCAGCAAGGAAGGCAGGAGGCTTCAGGAACATAGGTCACTGGTGGGACAGGTCTTTAAGCCCAAGACACCTAGAGGGGTTCACAGACTGCCCAGGGAGTGGACAGACACAGATATCTGGGTCCCCAGGAGTGAAGGCCCCTGCATAAGAGTCCTAGGAAGAGGACAGGAAGCCAGGACATATGAACAAGTGCTGGGCATCCCTCCTCAGCCCAGTGCTGTGTTAGGGTCCAGGGGCAAGGCCACAGGGCCCTTCAACCTGCTGCTCACTGTTGCTGTTGGTGAGACAGGAACGGCTTAGCAGCAAACCATAGTTCTAGTTTCTGTCAGAGCCCAGAGCCCCATGGAAACCGGCCAGGGACCCAGTTAGAAGTCTTGCATGAGGATAGCTTCTTTGGGAGGACAGGGTTGCCCTGCCAGGGCAAGACTCCTGCACAGCCCCAATGTGCCCAAGGCAGTAACTGGCCCACAGCAACTGGGTAATAAGGACTTGCTGATTCCTTGTGCTTCTCAGATACTCTCACCCTTTTTAATCAGGAGTCCTTCTAGAGGGAAGAGGGATTGGCTGATTATTTTCATTTTCCAAGTGTGTAACCTGAAGGTAAAGGCACACAGCAATCTCTAAGGGTCTCCAGCTAGGGAGAGCACAAACCAGAGTCCAGATGGGCAAGGGTTATATGCAGGCAGAAAGGGGCACCCGGTGACAGTGTTTTAGAGGAAGTTCTTCTTGATCTGATTCTGTGCCCTTAGTAGTTGCGTGTGCATGGAAAGGTGTTTTCACAGTTTCCTCAGATGCAAACTGAATACTGTGTACCTCTCTCACTGAGTCTTGGAAGGATCAAACAACATCACCATGTAAAGTCCCCCAAAGGGACCCAGTGTGTGGAAGTCACTGTGTTTAGTCCTCAAGCTCCATGCTGCTACTGGGTTATGTTCCTCAGCAACCCTGACCCCTCTTGCATGGGGGCCAATAGGCAGTTCCTCCTAACTCCACAGCCACAACCTCCACCCAGCCCCGATTTGCACAGGTGGCAAATTTTGCTAGGATTCTGCATTAATTCCAGTGGGCTCCAGCCAGGGCACAGGCTGGGGCCTCAGCAAGATACAATCCTACCCCACCCACAGGACCTCAGCTCAGCAGCCCACGCATCTGCAGAGGACGGGGTTTGTATTTATAAGATCAGCGTACAAGGACAACAAAGCAAGCCCAGAACAGGATAACAGTGCACTTACCTGCTCCCCCTGCCTTGTTCCTTTTTCCAACAAACACAGCCTGTAATACAGGTGAGGTGGAGCAGTGCTCCCCCTTGGGTACAGAAGCCTAGCAGGGCAGGACAGCCGGCAGCACAAAGTGCCAGGATTTTTTCCCTGGGAGCCGTCAAAGGCAGCATGGGCTCCCCCTCAAGGTAACACCACTGTAGCTGTGGCTCCAGCAGCCCTGCTGAAGTCCCATCACTCACTTTCCTGGCCTGACCAGGGCCAAAAGACCTGCTGGAGGGCACTCTGGCTCCCTGGACTTTGAGCAGCAGCTTCTGGAGAACAAGGACAGTCAGATGGTGGGGATCTGTGTCACACTGAGTCCCCTAGAGGTCCCTAAGCAACTCCCACCCTCCCAGTTGATTACTGTGGATAAGGGAAAGGTCAGTCAGGGTCTGGGCTTGGCAGAGACTTTAGGGAGATGGGTATATGTGGCAAAGAAGTCAGCTGGCTCTTGGATGCACCCAGGAACTCAGTGCTTTCTTCCCACCCTGGGGCAGCGCTAGGACTGGAGATGGCACAGGCACTGAGACCTCACTGAGCTGTCCACCTGTCCACTGCAGCAGGGAGAAGCCCACTTAGGGGATCATTCTTCAGGAATGAGCCCTGGGACCTAAGGGTTAGGGGGAGGCATCCCAGCATGCTGGCTCTCTGCGCACCCCGGGGCAACCTCACTCAGTCTTGGGTTCAAAAGCCAGGATAAGATTCCCAGGGCTAAAACCAAACAAACCAACCTGGTGGTCGTGGAGCATGGCCATTTTAGACAGCCCGGCGTTTTCCTCTGAGTCATTCTGCCTGAGAAGTTAGGGGAGGGTTCCGGGATCCCTACCCATGGTGCCCCCTACCAGGGAGGGATTTACTCTTCACTGGGCCCCCGAGCACTGCCCTCACCATCCCCATGCATCAGCTCCCAAACTAAGGCTACGTTTTAGAGGAGGCTTTAGGTTTCTGGATATCTATACAAAAACTGCAATTACAGTGAAAGCACAAAGGGCCTCTGCGCTCCACCATTCGCTGTGCGCTGCGTACGTGAAAACCCTGCTCTCCTAAAAGGCAAAGGGGTGTCCTGCAAATGGATCTAGAACGGGGGCCATTTCCAAATTCGCTGGGGATTCCCCGCCACACTTCCCTTTAAGCTCCAAGCACCCAGCTCAAGCCGCTCCTCCCTGAATCTCTATTGCTGCTTTTCTTCTGGCAGACCTGGGTTAGGAGTCCCACCCCATCACCTGGACCCAGCCTCGCTGCCCACGCTTCCCCACACTTCCTTTCTGAGGCTCTTGCTCAGCAAACCTCGAGTGGCCCCGAGCACCCTCACTGCTTCTTTCCGCCCTTGGTCCGCACCGTCTCGGTGCGCACTCGCATGGACTCCTAGGCCCAGGGCCCATCGCTCAGCTTCCTCTCCGAATATAAATTCGTTTGTTTATGTTTTTTAATGTAGTAAATGGGCAGCTAAATGAATTGCAATTTGTAATTTTTACGGCTAATTTGAAATCTCGCTCTTGTTGGCTAATCCTGTTAGTTGGTGCAAAACAAGAAGAAACTCGTGTCCCAGCAGCAGTGATTCTAATAGGCATTTTATGTTAAATTACAGCTACTGGCCAGGACAAAAGGAGGGGCCGCGCCTCCTGGCCCTGTGGCCTCCGGACCCCAACAAAACGGGCTGGTCTGCAGACCCTGAACGCCTCTAGCCGCCCAGCCCATCCTGACTTCAAATTTAAAGGCCAAGTTAGGCACCCGGGTCCTGGTCGTGAACGCTCCCGGCGCCGTGATTCCGCGCTCCGCGGAAGACAACACTCCTGGGCCTCGCAAGTGTGGCCTCGCCCGAGCGTGCAACTCAGAGGCGCAAGGGAGGGACTCAAGCAAGTCCTCTCTTCCTCCCTTCGTTCTTCCCTCTCTGCAGCTGCCTTCCTTCCTGAAAAACCAACTGGAGAGCGCGACGTCCCTTAAATTCACTCTCCAGTCCCCAACCCCCACTCCCCAGGGCAGAACAGGCTGCGCGGCTCGGTTTCCAGACACCTAGATTGGAGTGGGGGATCGGGGGTCCCAGCCTCTCTAGGCCGCCCTGGAGACCGCAGGCAGGGCTTCCGGGTGCGGCTTCCCATGCAGCGCGCGTGCGGATGGCGCTTCGCGGGGCGCGGGGCTCCGCAGGCTCGCGCGCTGTGGTCTGCGCAGGGTTCCCCGTCCCCGAAGCCTGCTCGGTGCCATCCCAGCGCGTAGGGTGGAAACACGGCTGCAGGAAAGTGTGGCGCAGAGGACGTGGCGTGCAAGGCAGGGAGGGGCAAGGAAGGGACCCTGGAGAGGCCAGGGACTGGCGAGGCCCGTGGAGCCACCTCGCTGCGCGGCACGACTCGGGGACTGCTATTTTGAAAGGCGGTGGCTTCTCCAACGGGGCGCAGGATGCGGGGGTCAAGTGTCACTTCCTCTGGCAGTCAATCTCCAATATTCCTTGTAATGTTTTTAAATGGACGAATTCATTACGCGAGGACGTGTGAATGGGGAGAGGCCGCGAGCGCGCTCGATCAATAGCGTCCACTAACGTTCATTTGGCACCGCCGAGCGCGGGGCCGCGGGGCCGCAGGAGACCCTGATCAATACGGTCCGCCCTCCCGCCGCCACGGGCTCCAAAAGGTCATTCGGGGAAGGTAGAAAAGTTCAGGCACCCCGACAAACCCTAATTGTCCTCCTCTTCCCCTGCAACCCTCCACCCACAGCTGGGCTTCCAAACGCTGGCGGTGGCGGTAGGAGGCTGCCAAGAAACCAGGGCTCCGGCCCAGGGCGCACACGCTGCGTTCCAAGCGAGCGCGACGCGCCACGCCCCAGGTCCACCTGCGGGCGGCCGCAGGGCTTGGCAGAAGCCCGCATCAGAGTTTCAGACATCGTCGGGACATGGGAAGATTTTTAAAAAGATACAGCCTTTGTTGCTGAGGGGCTGGAAACCGGTGGCGAGCTAGAGGTGGCAGGATCGCTGTCTACCTTCTCTGTTGTAACAGGAGCTCCAGGAAACGTTAAAAAGGATAATCTCCCGGTCCTGCCGCCAGGCCAGGCAGCCGCAGCCCTCAACGCGACAAGGCTTGGTATGCAGGGCTTTGCTAGGTCGGGGCAGTGGCGCGCCCGCCGCCGCCGCCAAGGGAGAGATACAAACGGTTGCCCCAAACGCAGTACCCAGAAAGAGGGCAGCCAGCCCTCCAAGGTGGTCCCATAGCTGGGCTCAGAAGGGGAATAAGGGGAAACACCCAGGAAGTTTTTCTCTTCGGTTTAAAATGATATTGGCTGCAGATTACACGGTCGGATGAATTAACTGGTGACCTTTATAAACCCCTGAGCTGAAAAGAAATGACCTGTTCTGGAAACCTCTGAGTCCTCCCCTCTCCAAAACCTAGAAAGGCTGTGTCTCTCTTCCTTTGTCCCCTAGAAGAGGAGGAAGAAGTGGGTTAGGAGGCTGCCAGGGGCACCTGAGTGGTTGGATTTGACCCTCAAAAGCCTGTCTTGTGTTTACAGGGGGCTACTGGCTCACACCACACACACACACACACACACACACACACACACACACACACACACACACACGCATGTACAGGGGCCCCTGGAGAGCACACTCCCAAAAGCCTTCTGAGCAGCCCACCTCACACCGGTGAAAGTGGGGCGTTTTCTCAAAGGTGTTAACACCTAGTTGGCAGACTAGACCAGGCTGTGAATCCAACCCTTTCCTGAAAGCAAAGCTGGGGATGTCTGTCCTGGCTGTGCCTGGATTTCCCACACCCCACACACCCCACACACCCCACATCCTGAATTCCCGTCTTCGCTTCCTTTGACTATGAGAAAATAAAGTATAGAAGAAAAAAGGACTTAGGAGTTAAGACATAAATGTTTATTTGGTGATTAGGGTTGTTATGGATTTCTCATCTCCCCAAATTCTAGATGTATCTATTCCACAAGAGCTCCCTATCTGTAAAAGCCTGATCTGAAGGCTGCTGGTACCCAGATTTTTCAGAGCGGATCCAGTCGCCTCTTGCTTCCTGTTTGGGAAGTTCATTTATAGCTTCCATTTGAGCAGGATATTTTAAATGGTTTGTAGTTTGATTCACCCCAAAACACCCCTTTAGGGAGAAAAAATATATTCTCTGACTCCGTTTCTAACAGAATACAGGTTATAGTGAGGTTATTTGCATTTAGTTGCAGTCAGAGAAGAAAAAAGCAGTTTGCTTCTTTGCAGAGGTGACCATAGTCTGATAAACATAAAATTCCACAGAAGTCAAGCAGTGAACAAATTGTGCTGACAGTTCTTCACAAAACTTCAAAAATCTTCAGAAAAGACAACTGTACTGGGGCCTCCCGTACCAGGATTTTCTGTAACTGTAACGCAAGTCCTTTTACAGTTTCCCCCAAAGCACATCCATCCTCTTCCCTAAATTTGCTAACATCAAACTCTTGGAATATACATGCTGCGTTATTTTCCTGCCTCCTCTAGGCTCTGTACCACAACACGAAGGCCAGCCACTGTTTTATATTTATGCAAATTAAAATTTCTCCTGCAAGTGAAGTTTTCAAACACAGTGTGTCGGGTCAGAAAGGAATGTTTTAGGGGCAGTTTCTCATAACAACCCCATTTCTGCAAGCACACCCAAGCAGAAAGAATCATTTCTGTTAGTTAACATTTTAGAGCCAGAAAATTAAAAACAAATATTTAAACTTCCCAATTTGGATTTCGGGAAGTGACTGTGAAACTTTTACAATGCATATTCAATGAATTAAACACAATCTTTCCTAGCCAAATACAACTGCTTTCCTGTGGTTCAAAAATAAGTTTAAATAAATTGGAGGGTAAATAAAATGCCTGGGCATACCTGGAAGGGAGCTGACTCCATGAACTTGGCCCAGAGACCAGAGACTGCTTTTGGACGCTTCTCAATGCATGGGTTTTGAGACACCTAATGAAGCTATATTTAGAGAGACAAATGTTCCATAAATATGTATACCTACAAATATAGGGACAGTCTTCGCTTTGTTCTCTTCCAAACCTGCTCTTACAGGAGATTATTGACAATGGATTCCCGCTCCATTTCTCATACCAAATGTGGAGGATTTGTAAAGCTTCCCATTTTGCTCCTTTTTCTCAGGTGGAAGCAGCCTGGTAAAGGGTTGTGTGACTGTGTGGGCTTTTATCTCATTTCCCCCAAAGAGGCTGGCAATGGGAAGTGAGGGCTGGAATCTCACTGCTAACCAGGCTGCCAAGGCACTTGTGTGCACCCGCCCATCCTACAGGAAAGATTTCTAACATGAGGGCTGAGCATAACCCCAAGATCTAGCACAATGTCTGTTCTGGTCTCAGGACACAGGAGGTTGGGTTTCCCTAAGATCTAGCTAATTTGGCTTTCTTGGCCCTGAGGCTGAATTCTTGCCAAGATACCTCAAAATATTTCCTGTATGCTTTGCCAGCACAAATCACATCACCAAAACTCTTCTCTCCAACAAAAAGCAATCTACCAAAAAACCTCCAGGACCAGGCTCTCTCTGAGGCCTGCTCTACTCCAAGGCCACAGGAGCCAAGCAGTCCTTGCCACTGTGGGCTGGGCTGCCTGGGCTCCTGATGCTCTAACCTCCACCCTGTGTCCTACAGCAGCCTGGCCACTGCAGCTCGTGGTCCAAGCCCTAGTCCTGTATCATTAGAGCTCAGGTCTCAGTGTGGAGGTTGCCAATGCCCAGGCTCACAAAGGCACATACTGAACAGCCTGGGCACCCTGGCCTCTGCTTTGGTGGCTGTTTATCTGCAACATCCGTTGGTTGGGGGAGAAAGGCAGAGCCCTGGAAGAGAAGGGAAGGAAAGGCAGATTCTGGGGTTTCTCTGCCTTGCCCTAGATTTGCTAAATAAAACACCACTCCTTTCTCCATCTCCCTCCCTCTCTCTCCCCAGTGCAGGTAGAGAACAGAGTGGTGTTCTGGTCAACAGTGCTCCTCTGCATTTCAGGGTCTTGCAGTCTGATTCACCTTTGCCTAATCTCTGGCAAAGTGAGATCTGCCAGGAATAGAAACGGAACAACAGGACTCCTCTAACACCGCACTCGCGCACTCGCACTCGCACTCGCTGGTACCAAGGAGCCTGAGCCAGCCAGACCCAGGTAAGGTGCAATGATGTCCACACACTTGTTCCACGGGCTCATCTGGGACCCCCTCTCCACGGCTGGGCTGGAGTCCTTTTTTTCTTTTACTGGGATATTTTTGTAATGTTCTCCAGTCTCGAGGGCTTCTCACCAGATTGCTTTCAGGGTCCAACGAAATAAGCCAGAGGAGCGGGTGTGGTAGAGATGGGAGGACCCAGCTGTGCACAGCTGGAAAGCTGAGACCCTTTGGGACAGACAGGAAGCTCCAGGTGGTTCTTGTATATTAAGGACGGTGGGAGGACCAGGCACCCGGGCAGGCTCTTCAGGCCTTTATGACTCTCAGGGTCTAATGGAAACAGGTACCATGTAAGCATAATATACAAAGTAACCCGAAAAGGATTTAGGCCAGGGAAGTTGTGATCCTTCTCCCACTTCTGAGAGAACAGCAGCTCTGTGAGCGCTGCAGCCTTAGCAATGAACTGATTATTGATCAGCTTTAAGGAGCACCCATGCATGAACTCACCAGCCATCTCATTAAAACACAGAATCAGCAAGATTTGCCTTTGTGAAAGTTCATTACTCCTGATATACATGCACATCTACATTAAATATAGAAAAGAGGAAAAAATTTGAAAGATAAACAAAAGCCTGGCTTTCGTCTTACCAGATTAATCAAAATGGAATTATAGGCTTCTCGAGTTTACCTAAAGGGAGCATCCAGAGAAAACTAGAAATTCGGCACCAAGGAATTCTGAAGCCTCTTTCCAAGAAGGCCTGAGCCAAAGTGAAACAAGGTAGGCAAAGACCACCCCAGATTTAACGAACTTCTGCATCTGTTTCTGCAATAGGATGAAAGAATTCGAGCTGATAGGCACCCTCCCAGTCCTACAGCTGCTGCCACCTCCCCGGAAGTCATATCTGGACTTTTGGGGACACCTGTCTCCATTTAGAAAGAAATGGCACTCCTAGCCAGTGCCCTGACACATCACTGTGCGTAGCCTGAAAGGAGCTGAAATCCCCAGCTGCCCTTTCTCAGCAGTCCCCACCGGGGAAACTTGGATCCAGTGCAGTTTTCCTTTCCTTTGGCCCTGGCTTCTGCAGGCACGCAGTTCCCTTTCAGCCAGAACAGCAAAACCATTTGGGCTGCGCTCTTCCCCTCTGGCTTTCTGTCTGTAGCTCAGCCTGGAAAGCGTCTTGAGTGATGCCACAGACAGTTAGACTCAATAACTTCCAAATGGCCCCAGAACCATCCTCAGCTACCCAGGGAGCCACAGCCCTCTGCCCTCAAAGTTAATTGCTAAATGATCTGCTAACTTAAACAATTAGAAATTCTCCCTCACCTTCCCCCAAAGAAATGGTGTTAATTTGTGACACATAAGAGCAGCCCGATTCACAACAGATTCCATTTATATGTGGCTAAACAAAATACCTATTTCTAGAATAACACAAACAGCAGATTTTCACCAGTTTTCTCCCCCTGTGGTCTGATGATCTATGATCCCTGTTCATAAGTTTTTAAACACTCAACTTTGCCCGGATGTTTAAAAAGCAAATCGATTTGTAGTCAGCCCTGCAGTTGCCTGTGGGAAGGAGCGGTGAGCTGGCAGACACCTCAGCAGGCAAGTGGGGTGTCCTTCCATCAAAGCGACGCCAGGGGGCAAGAAGCATTAACAAAGGCCAGCAGCTCCAGCTCTCTCTTTATCTACCCGTGCGTGTCACCCTTTACAGAGCGAAATGTCATTTTGCAAGGTTATACATTTCCAATTCCAGCCAGAGTCTTATCGCTCTTCATCTACCTCTTGGGCACAAACAAGCAGCTTCTTTAAATAAAACCAGGGAAGGGAAACGCAGACCTCTGTACAATTAAACATCGCAGAAGAAAGCCAAAAATGTACTGAACCTTGCTGTTAATCCGACTTACCTTGCTGATACTTTGGCCTAATCCTATTTTCTCCTTGCATTAGGATGATTCTGCAAGTCCACGTTTTGTTCTTCGGGAGGGCGGGTTACCTGGCCTAAGGTGGTGGTGGTGGGGAGCTCCCTGGCCACCTAAAGAGGTAGAGGATGGGGGCTGCTTGCTGCAGGCCCAGGCTCCCCGGAGGAGGTCGGAGGTCTGGAGGTCCGGAGTGCAGAGCCGGCTCCTCAGCGAGACAGAAAGCAAACTAAATCACTCAAGGGAAACTTCGCCGGAGACAAAACACATTCAATTTCCTGGCGACTCCGCTTTTTCTGCCAAATTATTTGCTTTTACAGAGGTACCTTAAACAAATGGAACGCGAAAGAATGGAACTTCCTTGGCTTCCTGGCCCAAAAAGACAGTTTTGCTTTTTTAAAAGATGTGGTAATAATAGTAAAAGTGAAAGAAAACAATAACACCCCGTCCTTTAAAATAAACTCATTTTGGCACCCTGAGTCCTCCTGGCAAATCCTTATCTTGCAGGGCAGGGCTGTCCAGGGAGCCGGTGCTGATGGCCTGGCACTACTCCTGGCCCGAAGTCCAGGCAGCTTCCTGGGGTTTATTTGGGCACCTTTCTCACCTTCACCTTCCAAACTGCGGCCCCTGGTGAGGGCTGCTGGCTTTCCAGCCTGGTTCCCTTCCAGATGGAGCTGGAGGGAGGATTTGCTGGGAGGATTATGGGGCACAGTGGGAAGGAGTCAAATATTGCTATCTTTGTATTTTGGGATTTTATTTCTCCTGCACACCCCGCAAACTGATCCCCTTCTCACCCTCCTCCCGGTATCATTTCTCTTTGAAATGTCATGAACTTGGCGCTTTCAGACCAAATCGCCCGGCTCAGGCCCGAGACAATGGAATTGTCAGAGGGCCAGCACAGTGCTTTTTCTGCATGTTCACGGAGCGTTAAGCCTTTATCCCACAAAACGGCTGTCTGACCAGGTCAGACAAAAGCCAACTTCCATCTTCTGCTTCCAGGGCATCTGGGGCAAAGCCTGGTATACAGTAGTGCGGTGCCCAGTGGAGAGGGGATGCCGGTTGGGCAGGCCGGGTAGCCCAGGTCATCACCATACCCCTTGAGGTCCCTATCTCTGAGTGTTTGGGGCCTGGGCCTCACTTAACCCCACAGGCTTCCCGGGATTAAGCCCAGCTTCAGTCCGTGTCTTCTCTGACTAGCTCTAGACATCTGGGGATTTTTGGACTCAGTGCCCCCTCACTACCCACCCTGAGCACCCAGACTCTCTCCCAGCTCTCTGAACCCAGTGTGCAATAGTACAAGCATGCAAGCGCTTTTGCAAGCCTGGCTACAGTCCCCGGAGTACAGACGGGACCCAGCTTTGGGCCCTGGCTGCACATTGAATGTCCACGCATGCTACTCATCGGTCCAGGGAGGTCCTGGGTGGGACCTCGTCCCTCAGATGCCCCTTTCCACTCAGGATTTCAGAGACTGGAGCTCTCTCTGGCTGCTGAATTGTTCTGCATCCTCCAGCCTAGGTAGCCATGAATGGACACAAGTGTTCCTGTCTGGTGTTAGACCTGATGAGTGGGTGTGGATGGGGATTCTGGGCAGCAGGTAAGGGCTCCAGGGACTGCCGTCTGGGAGAAGGGAGGCAGGGATGTTCTTTGTCCCCCATCCTGTGATTGCAGTCTGGATGGAAACCTGGGGCTGAGGCTCCCTTCCAAAGCAAGGTTCCTTGGCACAGACTCTGGGGCTGGTGGTGGGAGTGGCAGGACGTGGAGGGGTTGTTTCCATCTCTAGGATGGAATGACATCTTTGGAACAGCTCTTCTTCTTTCCCTCTCTCCCTTCCTCCTTCCTTCCTTCTTTGTTTCTCTATTTTTCTCTCCTCCTCCTCCTTCTTTCTTTTTCTCCTTTTTTCTTTCTACCTTCCCTCCCTCCCTCTTTTCTGTCTTCCCTCTTTCCTTTTTTCCTACTCTTTTTCTTCCTCTGTCCTCCTATCCCTCTCTCTCCCTTCCCTTCTTCCTGCTTTTTTCTCTTTCTTTCTTTCTTTCTTTCTTTCTTTCTTTCTTTCTTTCTTTCTTTCTTTCTTCTTACCTACTCCTGATCAAGCTCATTTTGTTCGCTGGGTGGGCATCGAGTCCCCTTCTACCCAAGGCCAATGCTATCTTGCGTGGGGAGAGAGGAATAAAGAAAATAACATAGGAGGCAACTTACATTTTTTAAATGACCCAAGGACCTTAAACTAAAGCAAAAATATTTCTCTAAGTGAAACAAAACCAAGGACACCTAGACTGCGTTGGAGAGGAAGTTGGGAGGCTGTTGGGGGCTCTCTGGGTGGCTGTTTATATTTTTAAAAAATTTATTATGGTAAAATCTACATTGCTTTAAATCCCTTCACACACGCTTGTCCCACCATCCCACCCCTTTCTGCAGCAGCTCTGGAGTCCTCTCTTGTGAGGGTCGGTAGCTGCGTTATCTTGGCTGCCTAGATGTCCTAAATCAATTCAGAAGGTCTCCCATTGGTGGTGTGTGAGGTGCGTGAGGACATGGCATTGTGTTTTATGGGCCCGCCTTTCTGCTGGGTGGTGCTTGGTGGCAGCAGTCACTGTATTTTTTGTCACACTTTATGAAGACACTTCAAGGCTGCTGCAGGAAGTGGCAGGAACGATGGGATGAGTGTGTTGGAAGTGAGAGGGATGTTTTGAGGGAATTACAGTGATAAATATTTTAAAAATTCAAACACTCACCATAATGGCCAGGGGTTTAGCTCAGTGACATAAGCACCTGCCTGGCAAGCACAAGACCATGAGTTTGGTCCCTGGTACCAAAACAAACAAAAACCACTCACCATATATTTTCATCATGCCTTATTTTATTCAGGCTCTGTCATTAAGAACTTGGGTGCTGGCTGGAAGCCTGGGTCAGCTTGCCCAGGTGGGCACAGAGCGGGCACAGTAGGGCCTCCAGCCTCTGGAGGACACAGCACTGGATTGGTCCAACGCTTCTGCAGTGCACACACAGGAGTGACAGGGTAGGCCACAGTGACAAGGACTCAAGTCCCCTGCCTCCTGGGTCCCTGTTCTCCCTGGTCTTCTACTCTCTGTAGTGTGGGTGCTGCCTGGCTGCTGGACTGGCCCCCTCCAATGCTGTGGTCCCTAGGGATGACCTGGCACCAGTGTTTCCTGTCTGTGCACAGCCTGGGGCTGCAAGAATGGTTAGCCCAGGTTGGAGGAGCACCTCTCACCTGCCTCAGGGTTGTGGGGATACGAGTGTGGGGAGGACCTGCCTCTCTTCCCAGGCTCCTTAGCTGAGAGCAGCAGCATCACAAGACCCCAGGGGCAGGCACATTTTCCTGTGCATAGTGGCACCCTGGGTTCCTGAGGATACCAGCTTCTCCCCACGGCCTCCTGAAAGTGAGTGATCACAGGAACCCCAGGACTGCACACCTGAGCAGCAGCTCCACTGCCTGTTTGCTGCTCAGTGACAATCAAGCATCCTGTTCCCTGATCAGGCAGTGGAGGAGCGGGCACTGTGCTGATCAGTGTCCAACCTCATGCCCACTTCTTGTATGTGTAAGATTCAGAGCCAGCGTGGCTGTCCTGCATCTGTTTTATCTACAGACAGGAAAGCCATGCTCCATCCTAAGCTCTCACCAGGGCTGAGGACCACACTGGTGCTGGGACATCAAGCCTGCTCCATGAACAAAACAGCCCCTGCTGGCTGCTGCTTCCTGGAGTTCCCAGAGTGATTCTATTGGCATCAGAGGTAGAACTCACTGGCATAGCTGGGGGTTACCACCCCAGAAACTACCCTGACTCAAGGAAACCAACTCCCCTCAAAGCCTAGGTGGTCCCAGACACCTAAGGACAAGGAGAAAGCCAGCTACAAGTCTCCCCACTACCACCACCACCACCACTTCCAAAGTCTCTATGAGTTTGTTTTTTTAAGTACTCAAAGCCATAAAAGCTAAGCTTCCTTTCTGGGAACCAGGGTCCATTTCCACCCCTCCCCAGCCTCCTCCAAGCATAGGGTGGGGCAGTGCCCACTCCAGAGAGTCCAGTCCTTGGCCATGCCAAGAAGCTTTTCCTTGTGGAACCCCCTACCCAACCTGCCAGAGGCTCTGTTTCTTGCTTCTGAGGCCTCTGGCAGACAAGGCCTCTCGTGGGGCTGCATACAGTAGGTGTTTAAAGAAGGGAATGACTTATCCCTATTGTCCCTCCACAGCACAAAGGAACTCATGACTGATTGAAGCTCTTGCCAAGAAGCTGTGCTCCAAGGATGTACACATCAATTCAAAACAGCCTTTCAGCCTCAGGAGCGAGGGCAGGAGGATCATGTGCTGGAGGCTGACTTGGGCTTCATAGTGAGTTCCAGAACAGGCTGGAAGACCCTGCCTCAAAACAATAAAAACAGGAACAGAAATCTTGCTGCAATGTGGAAGGAGATGTGAACCCATTCCAGAGTTCCAGTTGGTACATGTTAGAGCCATGTCCTGTGTGGTGGTGGTGCAGGGGAGCAAGTGGACACCTGGCTGGGTTACCGAGCTCACCTGAGTGGGCAGGTGACCTCACGCTCACTGACAGAGTTCAGCCCCACACCGTGTGCTTGCACCTCAGGTTGGGCACCTACCTAAGCAGGGAGCCTCGCCTCCCACCAGCCTTGCTAGGCTTTCTCCACCTTAGAAAAAGCAGATACTCTTTCCTGCCTTGTTGGACCCTCACACAGTGACCTGGCCTTGGTGGGACGCTACACCTGGTTTTATGCAGGCCTCACTATGGGCCAGACATCTTCACAAAAGGCGTGGTGCTATGACCACGTACTCGGGACCTCCCACCATCGCACACCCTTTCCACCTGCTCCTTCCTTATCTCATTCTCAGGGAAGTGGTGTCTTGCTATCCCAGCAGGAAAGGGATGGCTAGAGCCCCAGGTGCATATCTGGATCTGCTCTGCTGTTGCTAGGGACCAGAGACTGTCACAGAGCCAAGACAGGGTTTTGGTGCCTGGGAGAGGGGGTGTGGCCACTTCTGCCCTGTCCTAGCCCTGTGGGACCGTGTGTGGCAGGTCCCTGGGCAGCATGCACACAGTGGGAGCACCTATGCTGTCATCAGCAGCAGGTACCCTGCAGAGCTCAGGAGCTGGCCAGGCAGGGCTGCAGGTGGGCATCTTCCTGCTTACCTATCCTCTCTCTGGCAGGCTTTCATCAGGTAAGAGGACAGACCTGCTTGGGGCTCAAGCCAGGCTGAGGGATGGGGTCAAACACCAGCTCATTCCAAGGCTGTCTCGCTCCGAGAAGCTGGCCTGTGGTGTTTATTGCTGAGCCGGTACCTTCTGTCATGACCAGAGGAGCCAATTCAATTCCGATACATCTGTTTACCCTCACAACAACCCCTCTACTCTATACCACAGTGCCTTCCTACAGCAGATGCTCTGAGATTATGAAAAGCCTTTTAGTCTGAGGTTCTTGT